GGGGGGGGGGGGGGGAGATAATTCTGCTCCTGTGTTTAAAGAACATGCTTCTGGTACATCTGAATAGGGTTCCAATATCCAACAGGGAAAGCAATGTGAAGAACTTGGTATGCCAAATAGAACACAAGATGCAAAAACATGTGCTACTGATTTAAGCATGTTGCTAAAATAGATTTCATGTTCATCGTTTATCAAACTAGGGGTGCAGTACACTGTAGAAATAATGCAGTTTAACACCACTTTAAGTGCTGCTGCTCCATCCTATGGAACCCTGAGATTTGTAGTTTTACAAGGTCTTTATCCTTCACTGCCAAAGCATGCTGGTGCCTCACAAAACTGCAAATCCCAGTCTGTAGGATGGAGCCATGGCAGTTAAAGTAGTGTCACACTACATTATTTCTACAGTGCAGATGCACTCCAAGAGGGAAGAATGCTGGTGATACAGTTGACTTAGACAATTATTGGATATACAGGTTTGATTCACACATGCATACATATCTGCTTTGTGATTGATGAAACATCCAACGAGTGTGTGAGGTGACTCCTAACCACAAAACGCAGATAAGGATATCTCATATGAAGAATAAATTGCCTTCCATCTGCATTGTTAGATCTAGTATGGTTGGGGCTGGGAACTTATGGCCCTTTAGATGTCGTGAGGACTCTAATTCTCATCAGCCGTTTCTGGTATAGCTAATGGTGAGGGATGCTGGGAATTATAGTCCAACTATCTCTGGACAAACTATCTCTGGATAAGGTGCTAGTCCATGTGTTGTGGATTATTCTCTCTGCTTTCTGGCTATATTTGCTATGAAATAGCCATCCCACGTGGGACCTTTCTTCCACCTTAAAAAACCCCATTCCTCATTGCAGAGAAAATCAGTGAAAATACCACGGAATCCTTTCCTTTCTCTGTCTCAAATGCTGAGTTTCTTGGCATTAACCCAATCCCTATGAGTGCCCAATGTCCTTAATGTCCCATGATTTTTTTTTTTTTGGTGTCCTAGTTCCTTCTCCCTTCCTACTTCTAACAATAATCACAAATCTCAGTAATATTTTTAATTCTTATAATCGGTAAGAATGTAAGGCACTTCATGCCTATTTCAGTCTTCTCTCTGCTTTCACTAATCCTTAATTTCTCTCTCATGCACAAATGCATTTCACTGAGAAAATGTTCTCTGGGCTTCACCCTTTGCTACCCAGCATATGGAGGCCTATGGTTCTTTCCAGAAATTTGTGAATTCAGTTTGTAAATGCTTGGTTCCATCAGACAGGGCATGCAAACTTACTAATGGTTTATGATTCAGAAAAGCCACCACATGCTAACATTCCCAAGCAAATCTCACTTTGGATTGGTACCAATTACAGTTGGTCTCCCATATCCACAGATTCAACCATCCATGGCTTGAAAATATTAGAAAAATATATAAATTCTAAATAGCAAATCTTGATTTTTGCCATAAAAGAGGCCATACTAGGCCATTTTATATAACGGGACTTTAGCATCCATGGATTTTGATATCCATAGTGGGTCCTGGAACCAAACCCAGCAAGGTCCACCTGGGTGATGGAGCTTTCTCTTTCCCCCCACTCTTGGACCTTCTTAAAAATCTTTTCCAGAGTATCCTCTAACCCCACACAAAGAGCATGGAAGGGCTGCAGGGAGAATTTCATCTGTCCCAATTCCATTGATGGATCCATTTCATCAATAGGAGATAATAGCTGCCTGTCATCAGAATTATCTGTTGGGCTGGCATAACACATAGTGGCATTTTGACAACTTGCAAAGATGCTCTGAAGATTGAGATGAAGGGCGCATATGTATCATAAGTTGCCTGGGAAGAATCAATAAACTTGAAATGCCAGTTCTGTTGTTGTCAAGCAAGTATTTGCATTGCCTGGGACACTCCAGTCAGTCCGTCAATCAATCAATCATTTCATATCCAACTTTTCTCTCAACAGTGTAGAATGAAAACATGACACCAGGATCACAGCTAGATTCTACGAACAAAACTCTGGTTACTATTCCTGTGTTTCTGTGTGCGTCTTCAAAACAACAGCAACAGACAGAAATTTAATGCAAGTGAGGCTTTGCTAGCTGTTGAAAAATGAAGATACATTACCAGTATAGAAACCAAAATGGGAGTCTTGATGATCCACCAGTAAGGAGATTCGATTAAGTCCCAGCAACTGAAAAGAAATAACTATGTATCAAGAGTGTCTTCTTACATTTGGTATTTTCCTTGAGGAAAGTCTGAAGAATCTCTGAGGAACTAGATTGAAAATGAATAACTTAATAGCAGTCCTGTGAAAAATCCCAGCCCTGCGTCCTTCTTGTGGGCAACTTTAGGCTCAGAGAACAAGAAGTAAATCTTTCACATGACAAATACAGTCTTTTCATTAAGGTACAGAGCTGGAAATAACTTGTTACATGAAAGTATTTACTTGTGATTTGACTCCTCACCCCAGTAAAAAACAAACAAACACTAACCTTATAATTAAATTACATTATGATCATAACATCATCCAGCTATGTTCTTTGTGTTCTGCTGGTCCTAGAGGTTGATGTCATTGCTAGAAAGAACTGTACCTACAGGTAGCATGGTTTTAACTGTAAGCCACCCGGATTGGATTACCAATGGGCGGGATACA